AACTGTAACAATATGTTCGAATAAACAGACCTGAGGCATGACCTCACCTTAACTCCAAAAAAAAAAAAAAAAAAACTAATCATGAATTTGTTATACTGTATAAAAATTGTTTTTATACAGGTTAATATTAGATAACTTGGATTTTACATTTATAATTTTTATTGTTAATTTATATAGATCTATTTTAAAATTTTGTATAACTATTTATGACATAAAAATTAAAACGATTATGATTTTTTAATAATTTAATTTTATTTGTTGTATTCTAACACTATTCTTAATTTATTGTTATAGTTACTTGATTTTAATTAAAAATGATGATGTATCATGTTAATAATAAATTTTAGAAGTTTTTTTTAATTCAATATTAATTTTAATAGGTTTCTTCAACTACAATAATGTCTGCTAAAATGCATGCTTGAGTGAATAGTTATGGATGTCCATCTTTTTCTAAACCACTAATGAGATGATGTATTATTACTAATAAACAAGAGGATTAATTCAAAACATTTATGACAGATAAGACAAATGTCAATATGAGTTCCTATAAAATTCATACTAAAACTGGACTACCATTACTTTATCTTAATAACCATAAAGAGGCATTATGGCAAAAATTTCATGCACAATATCCAAATAGAATAGGACATACAACATTTTTTAATAAACTACATAATGGCCTATTTGTATATCATGAAGATCTAGGAGGTCTATGTTTAACTTGTAAGCAATATGGGTTCGAAATGTTTCATGAACTATCAAATCATATAATAAAAAAAGTAGAAAATCATGAAAAAAAGGTGGTTTTATTATTATTATATTCTATTATATATAAATATCCAATTAACTATATTTAATATAGGAATATTATATTTAAAAAATTGAAATGGTTCAACAATTTTTAAGACCTGAATATTGTAATCATTTAAAAGTATCTTTAACTAGCCAAGTAGAACATGATATGTGTATTAATCATTGTCTACTTTATGCCTTTGAAAATTGTAATCAAAGCTACACAATAGAATGTGAAAATTGTTCTGAATTGTTTATTTTATTTAATCAAATAAAAACTGAGCTACCTTATTCTTTTTTAATAATTGATGAACTTCAAAAACAAGCTGAATTTTATCTCTCACATCAAACCAGAAAAATGTATTTGAATAATCAATTTAATGCAAATTTGTTAGAATTAGATAAATATGGAGCAGTAATATTTGTTGATTTTAAAATGAAAATCTTACCTAAAAAATCTTGAGAAACTAAAGAAGATTTTTATGAAAAATGTGAATGGGTATTGCATACGGTCTTAGTCTTTACAAAAAAAATAATAGTCAAGAACTTGATATCCATGCATACGATCACTGGTCATCTGATACTCACCAGGATGTCTGGTTTACTACCTCCTCATTCGATGCAGTTTTTAATTCTTTAGATCTTAAACCCAAATGGGTTATTATCATGTCAGATAATGGACCTCATTATCACAATACAAAAATGATGTTAATAATATCATATTAGAAGGAATAGTATAATATAGAATGTAAAAAATAGTTTTTTTAGAGGTAGGTAAAGCAAAAACATCAATAGATAGTCATCATACACAAGTAATATATTATTATATTACTTGCCTATTTTTTTTTTTTTAAAAATTTATTAATTTATAATTTATATTTACAGATTTCTCATGCACTTAAACATTATGTTCGTCTTGGGTTTGATATTACGTCTAAAGAAGACATTGAAAAAGCAATAAAAAATCTTAGTGGTACTTTAGTTGCTAATATAAATCCAAACAATGCACAATGGGCATCTATAAAAATTAGAACTATACCTGAAAATTCAGATCTTTATAAGTGGCATTGGCCAACTGAAAGTTCATTAGCTAGTTATATCTGTGCATGACCCTTACCTGGATTTGGTGATTGGAAAAATTGGTCTTTTATAGAATTACAAAAGTGAAAAAGTTCAGAAATTGAACAACCTCAACAGTATGTATCTGAACATAGCATGTCTCAAAAAAACTGGACTATGCCTATTTATTGATTGTTAAGTAAAAAATTATATAAATATTATCAGTGAATAAGTCTGTATATGTGCATTTATATGCATTTTATGCATGCATATAAATGCACATTTCTATGTATAAAAATAACATCACTAATTTAAATAACAACTTATTAACTTACAGCTGCTGATCCAAATCAATGGAATTTGCAACAATGGACAATAAAAAAACTAAAAGAAGAGTTAAAAAGCAGAAATATTAGCTATGAAAAGAGAATGGATCGAGATGAATTAGTAGAATTGTTGCAAGAATATATGTGTAAAGAAACTTTAACTAAGCCTTTAAACGATGATATTATCGTAGAAGAAATGGAGTTAGATAGGTGTTTTTTTTTTCATTAACTAATAACTATTTATTAAAAAGAAAAACTTATACTTTTATTTTTTTCAGCAATCCAATTCAACAATTCTCTTTTAATACAGGCTGGGCTTTTAAACATAAACATAAATATGGGTGCAAGGGAGGTAAAAAACGATTATCATTGAATGTTGTTGAAATGTTAAAAGGTTTTTTATAACAAGGCAAGAAGATTCAAATAATCGATACTCAGCAAAAGATATGCTAGCAGCTTTAAAAGAAATGATAGAAAATAGAGAATTAACAAAAGAAGAAATTCCTACTGAAAAGTCTATTGATGGTTGGATTAGTAGATATTCCTGAATGTCAAAACAAATGACAGCCAAAAAATATTAGACGATGACATAGATTGTGAATAGCAAAAAACCTAATATCATATAAATAGAAAATTAGATAATGAAAAGAAAGTCAGTAAATGAGTAAAACTATATGATTGAATATTAGCAAATTTTTTAGTAGCTTGACCTTAATAACAAATAACTGATAACAATCAAAATGAATGCTATTTTACTATCTTAGTAGTAACCTTGTTTTTGGTTATTATCACATTCAAATCAAAGCATTATATTAATTTAAATAGATATATATAATTATAAAATTATTTTGATCCTTGCGAACTTTCAAAATTACTATATATATTTACCTTCATTGCTTTTTCGATTACCAAAGTTGGTTTTTTATTATTAAAATAATAAAAATCTAAAATCATTCTAATTTCCTGTTACTATCTTTAGATCTCCAGAATCGACACTTCATAAATAACAAATTATTTACTTCAATAGTAGTTAGCTTATAAAATGAACCTTTCTAATAAGTGGGTCTAATATAAGAATTGCACTCAAGTAGAATTTCTGTGGTTTAAAAAACATTTTAATTGAATTAGCTAAACTGAGTCAAGTATAATATATACAAATGCTATATCAATATATACGAATTATCTAATAAATTTTTTATCTTGTCTAAATATAGTTCATTAACAAATCTAACCTCTTGAATGTTTTTACTCTATAGTTTTATATTCTAATGTAATAGCTGAATTCTTTTTTGCTAAGGTAAATTTTCTTATTTCTTTTTTTTATTTATTTTATCCTGCATCTTAATACATGTTTTACCTGCTTTTTCTTTTTTTTTTGAATTAATGTTCAGCAGAGGTATGAAAAATAATTAGCTCTTAAATAAGTAGCTTTTCAGTTTCTTGCTATTTCTCTCTAAAGCATTCACTAATATTCTTTATTTCTACAGGTTCTATTATCTATACAGCTAATAATACAATCTATAATAATATACAGTTTAACAATAACAAAAAAAAAAAAAAAAAACTTATTTATAAATATTACTGAAAATACTTAAGACAAAAACATTTACTTATAAAAAAAAAAAAAGCTAGTAGGTTCTCCAATCCTCCAAAGTGTATCTTTTTATTATTCAATTAACAAATGATATATATCATGTCTGTTATAATCTGCTAATAAAAAAGACATTGACAAAAATATACTATAAAGCATAAAAGTATAGAATTAATAATAGCACATAATAGATTCCAATCTACTTACAGTAAAATGTATTGTATAATAATAAAAACTATAAAGTTGAGATCTATGAATTACATTAATTGACACATCATTAGCTATTAGTTACAGTAAAGACTTCTAGTTATTTATAGAATTAGGAAGTTAATATTTGCTAATTAATCTTAAATAACATAGAACAAGTCAAATAATTGTATTAAAATAACTTACAGACTAAGTGTATAGCCAAAATATTTTTATCTTGTGAAATCAATTCTGAATCATGCAAGTAAAAAGGTGTAGAATCTGGTGCCGCTTACTAGGAAAACACTTTATAAGTTCAAGTTAATACACAAAATGACTATTTATTAATATTTTTCTTTGCCAATAGTGTATGCAAAGAATCAACTTCAAGTCAAAAGATAATAATTAGTTAGTTGCTCATAAAGACTAACATTTTGAGTTTTTTATTAAATTTATAATAGATTATCGATTTTATGCCTCAAATTTTACTAATATTATTATAGTATTGATCAGCAGATCACAAATTAAGATTTTAAAACTTTTTTTTTATTTTATAAAACAGAAAGATCTTAAGCTTTAATTTGTTTAATTATTCTAACATTAGTGCATAAATATTACTAAGATGTTAACTAAACATTACACTTTTGCAAACAAATATAGTTATAAATAAGTAATTATATATTACAAAGTATTAGGTTCTATATAAAAAACCTATTTTCAATAATTATATAGTATCTAAATACTATTCTTGGCAAAAAAAATGTGCAATTTAAAATATTTGAGTTAGGAGCCTGCAAATTGTCTATTTTTAAGGCCTGGCCTGACTTGCAGTTAAAGTTAAAAATTTTTTTTAGGCCTGGTCTAGCCCACATTTAGGGTTATTATTTTTTTGTCAGCCTGGTTCAGCTCATATATGTTAAATTTTTTCTTTAGTCCAGCCTGGCCTAATCTGATCTGCAAAAATTTCTTATATAATTTTACAAAATTTTAGATCCACACTGGCTCACAATTATAAAGTTTTACAAATTTTTCAGCCTAGCCTGGTCTGCAATTATAAAATTTTGCTTCAGGCCTGGTCCAATCTGCAAAAATTTGTGGGCCAGGCCAGGTTGCAGGACCCAATGCAGGCCTCTAATCTGAGTACTTTGAGTAGGAATATGCAAAAAGTGAAATAGTTTGGTCAATGCACTATAATACTATCTTGTATCATATAATAATATATAATTACAGATTATATAAATTTTAGTATCATTTAATTTTAGCATTCTTTGTAACAATATATAATTTTTTTTAATATTAAGATAAGTACTTGTAGAGGATGGTGATCCTAGTGTAGTGGTTGGGTTGTTATTAGGGTTCTGCAAATGCCCATGCCAAGCAAATTGGCACTATGCCAGATACTAGTACCTCATGCCATGCCTATATCTATAGGCTCAAAAGTGCCAGGAATTATTATAGGCATGGGCACAAATGCTAGGCATTTTTATAATCATAGGCACAAATGCCAGGTACTTTATAGGCATAGGCACAATATGCTAGGCAAAAAGATGCCAAAAAGTGCCAGGCACAAGTGCCAAATAGTACTAAACATATAATTAATTAATAAATAAATAATTTTTGTACTTATGCTCATGCTCTTGCCAAGTTTTTGTGCTTGTGTCCATGCCTATGCCAAATTTTTGTGCCTATGCCCATGCCTATGCTATATTTTTATATTAGCATTCATGCTTATGCCAAAGCTTTTATGTTCATGCCCATGCCTGAATTTTTGTTAGGCATAGGCACAAGCCCAGGTTGCAGACCTCTAGTTGTTATCCTCCAAATGGCAGGTCTAAGGTTCAAATCCCACTTATGACAAAATTTGAAAATTATATCTGTATTATGGTAACTGTCTTCTGTCAATTGGTTGGCCTCATGTGGCTGTTACCCAAGTACACCAGGTTGAGTCCTCCCTGACTTTGAGAGCTCAAGGCATCTATGCAAAATATAACATTACATGTATATAGAGAAATGTTAACTGGTATTGCATAAAACTTCAGTACAAACCCACGATAAGACTACCGGGTATAGAAAACTAAGAAACCAAGGTAATGAAAACCCACTTGGAAATTCTTGAGTAAAGAGGTAGTATGAACTTTCAATAGTATCATTGGACTGGTTGAAGCCTATGAAACACTTTCATAGGAACCAAAAATTAAAACTGGATAGCAAAATATGTGTAGAGAAGCACATAACCAATTAGGCTGCTGGGTTTGCTGGAGAAAAAGGATACAGAAGTATACCATATCAGGCTATCTGGATTAGTAGTCTAGAATAAAACCAATAGTTCTGAGTTGTGACTAGTAGGAGATGATAGAGAAGATGCTAGAAAGATAGATACTGGGGTTCTAGTAAACTTTACAAGAATAGAAATAGTGTAATGTAGCAGTTAAACAGGTAACCCCTGTGACTGCAAGTGTTAGATAACTATAGCATGTTGTATAAAACTAGGTCTATATGTATGGAACATAAAGGCTTTAATAAGTTTCCTATTGAGGATAAAGTAGTCCTAAGAAGACTGATAAGCATCAAAAACTTGGATGGGTGGTGCTTTGAGATGTTCCTATGATACAAGAAGGACTGCATATATAGAGAGTTTAAATAGGCAAGACCTCTAGCTGGCTTGCAGGTATGGCAACTAGTATAGAACTTATATAGTAATATATAAGTGAACTACTTAAATTAGGTACCAAAAGTGCATATGTGGCTAGTTGTAACCTTCAATGTAAGGTGAGCCCCTGGTGACATGCCATGTCCTAATATACTTGAATAAAAACATTACTATTTCCAAGATAGGGACTTTAACTAAAAAAAAAAAGATAAGTACTTGTAGTTTAGAATTTTATTGATAATATGTTTTGGCTAGTAGCTGTTGTATAACAATTACAAAACAATTATAAAAAGAATATACAACTAGTTATTTATATAACTTTAGTTATTATCTAATTTAAGTATTTTATTTAAAGATTTTATACTAGTTGTTATATCTAAAATCTGTCTGTAAATCTTTTATTTAAACATTTTAAATTCTGTATCTATTTGATCCTATTAATAATTCTGATAAACTGATATATTATAGTTACTAAGTTATATTTAATTTTGTACTAAACTCATTAGAGCCTTTTATATTTTATACTTTACTGCTTTGAGCTAAACTAGTACTTGTAGTTAATGCTAATTATTAAACTACTATACTTTTATAAGATTTATTCAAATTTTAATATTCATCTTTTTGATATCTTTTTTATTATTCTTTACTAACTACTACTTAGAACTAACAAAACTTATCAAACTTTCAATTTAAATAGCCTAGTATAGTATATTTTAGTATTTTTTTTCTTTAGTAATTCTGATAATCTAATTAGTTATATGCTTCTCTACATATCTTGCTATCTAGTTTATTTATTTGTTTTTTTAGAGAAGTTTTATAGACTTCTATTAGTTTAATAACATTATTAAAAGTTTGTTATCTTCTTATTCAAAATTTTCAAATAGACTTTTAACTTTTTGGTTTCTTTATTTTTTATATCTAGTAGTTTTATTTTAGGTTTGTATTAAAGTTTTATATAATATTAAGTGTTAATATTTTTTTATATATATAGAATATTATATTTTATATAGATGCTTCAAGCTTTCATTTAAAATAATATAACTAAAGATTACAGATATATCAATTTAACTAATTAACAAAAACAGTTATTATAATAGGTATAATTTTCAAAATTTATTATT